TGAGAGACCTTTGCTCTCTATAAGCAGCCTGAGAAGCAACACCTTGAGCAGCACAGAGTCATCCTGCTTGGCTCGCTGCTGCTGCTGCTGCTGCTGCTGCTGCTGCTGCTGTCGTCGCTGTTGCTGCTTCTGATGCTCGCGCTGCTCCTGGAGCTGCGGCGACGGTAGAAGCAGCACTCCAAAGCAGCAGCAGCAGCTCATACTGCCCATTAACACACGCAGCGGGGGCCCCACTCTCGCCAGCAGCAGCAGCAGCAGCAGCAACAGCTGCAGCAGCAGCAGCACGAGCAGCAGCAACAGCCGCAGCAAGGGCGGCGAAAGGCTAACTGCAGCAGTGACTTCCTTTCATATTTCTTTGCTTCCATTGGTAACACACACTTTATGATAGTGTCAAGCGGGCACTACAAGCAGGTGCAGCAGCAGCAGCAGCAGCAGCAGCAGCAGCAGTAACAGCAGCATCAGGAACAGCAGCAGAAGCGACTGCAGCAGCAGCAGCAGCAGCAGTTGCTGTGGTCGGGAGAGATATACTGGCTCAATACCCAAAGCTATTGACTGAAGGTGCAGCAGCAACACAACCGGCAGCAGCAGCAGCAGCAGCAGCATCCGGAGCAGCATCCGCAGCAGCAGCAACAGAAGCCTCAGCAGCAGCAGCAGCAGCAGCAGGGGCAGCAGCTGCATGCGCCGCGATGCAGCAGCAAGACGTTGACGCTGTCCTGTTGCCCCAAGATTCCCTCCAAACCAGGTGTTTTAAGGTGTGTTGGTTTTGCTGCTGCTGCTGCTGCTGCTGCTGCTGTTGCTGTTGCTGCTGTTGGTGCTGTTGCTGCCTTTGCTGTTGTTGTTGCTGCTGCTGCAGCTGTTGCTCCTGCTCCTCCCATCCTGCTGTTTCTCGTGCTGCAGCTTGTTGCTGCTACATTGTTGTTGCTGCTGTGGGTGGCGCTGAGACGCTGTGGCATTGCTATTGCTGCTGTTGCTGTTGCTGCTGCTGCTGCTGCTGCTGCGGTTTCAGGTATTACAGGGGGCCGAGGATAGGCAAGAATGCCAAGACGTTTTAAACGTTCTTCAGTAAGCTAGCAGCAGCCGCACGAGTAGCAGCAGCAGCAGCAGCAGTGGAGGCAGCAGCAGCAGCAGTAGAAGCAGGAGCAGCCTCTGCAGCAGCAGCAGCAGCAGCAGCAGATACCCCACAAGCAGCCCCATAAAAGTTGGCAGCATACATCCCGTTGGTTCTGCTGCTGCATTTCTACCGTTGCTGCTGCTGCTGCTGCTGCAATTGCAGGTACGTAGTTGCTGCTGGAAGCGCAACACAACAGCAACAGCAGCAGCAGCAGCAGCAGCAGCAGCGGGGCGCTGTTGCTTCTAAGGTCTACGCGACGGAGTCCCCTGGTGCTGCAGTGGAGGAGATGCAGCAGCCTACGCAGCAGCAGCTGCAGCAACTGCAGCCGCAGAATATGTGGTGGTGGGCCGCGCCACCCCAACAGCAGCAGCAGCAGCAGCAACAGCAGCAGCAGCAGCAGCAGCAAGGTGTGCAGCATCGCTTTGCCTATGAACCTGCTGCAGTCGGCGTATATCATTACGTCCCCGTTCGCGGTGTTTCAGGGGCCTTAGGAGAAGCATCACTGCAGCAGCAGCAGCAGCAGCAGCAGCAGCAACCGCAGCAGCAGCAGCAGCAGATGCAAGGCCCCATGCACGTCCGTGTGCACAAGCAGGGCAACTGCTTGATGTGGCTGCCGGCCCGAGACAGCTTCTTTTCTCCTTTGGACCCTCTGCAGCAGCAGCAGCAGCAGCAGCAGCAGCAGCAGCAGCAGCAACAGGTGATGCGGAAGCAGCAGGAGGTGCAGCAGATGCCGCTGGAGGAGCAGAAGAAGATCCTGCAGCAGCAGTGGGAGGCGCAGCAGCAGCTGCGAGTGCAGCAGAAACAGCAGCAGGCATTTTTGCTGCAGCAGCTGCAGCAGAAGGAGCTCAGAAACCTTCACATTTATTCAGATGGTATGCATGCACCGCAGCACAAGCAGCAGCAGCAGCAGCAGCAGCAGCAGCAGCAGCAGCAGCAGGAGCAAGAACAGCTGAAACAGCAGCAGAAACTTGCGGACCCATACGGTTCAAGTCCTGCAACTGTTGCTGCCGCTGCTGCTGCTGCTGCCGCTGCAGCAGCAGCAGCAGCAGCTGCTGCTGCTGCTGCTACTGATGGCGATAGTGATAGCTGCAGCAGCCAACAGTCTTCAGATACTGGACCCTGCTGCGGCATTGGTGCTGCTCTCCCTGCATTTCTGCAGCAGAAGCTGCAGCAGCAGAAGCCGCAGAAGCAGCAGCAGAAGGCCCGCCATAAGCAGCAGCCGCTGCAGCAGCCAAAGCAGCAGCAGCAGCAGCAGCAGCAGCAGCGAGAGCCAGATCTGCTGCTGCATGTAGCGGAGTGGCCGCTGAAGGTCTCAGGAGACAGGCCGGCTTCACCAGCAGACTTGCTGCTGCAGAAGGTGCAGCAGCAAGAGCTGCTGCTGCAGCAGCAGCAGATGATGCTGCAGCAGCAGCAAGCGAAGCAAGCGATGCTGGAACGCCAGATAGAAGCGCTGCAGCAGCGGGAACGGCTCGAAGCGCATCATGTGCAGCAGCTGGAGCAGGTGCAGCAGGTACAGCAGCAGCAACAACAGCAGCAGCAGCAGCAGCAGCAGCAGGGGCAGTCAGGGCACACGTCTCCGAAAGCCTCCTCCCCCACAAGCATGCAGGAGGAGCAGCAGGAGGAGCAGCAGCAGGAGAAGTACAAGCAGCAGCAGCAGCAGCAGCAGCAGACAGATTTCGCGCTGCAGCAGAAGCAACAGCAGCAAGACAGCACCACTGGATGTGAGACAAGTAGGAGGCCCCTATGAATGCAGCAGCAACAGCAGCAGCAGCAGCAGCAGCAGCAGAACCTGCTGCTGTAGCGAACCAAGAAGGGGCCCTTAGTTGTATTATGAAATAAACGCATTTGTGTGCTGCTGCTGTTGCTGCTGCTGCTGTTGCTGCTGCTGCTGCTGCTGCTGCTGCTGCTGCTGCTATGTTTGCTTGCAGACGATGCGTCACAGAACATATCAACTGGCCATATTCAGGTGGGGGTGGTTTGCTGCTGCTGCTGCTACAGCTTTT